TGGAGTGGTAATGCGAAAAAGACTTAGATGGTTTTAGCATGCGGAACTCAAGACAAAAGATGACTCTGTAAAGAGATGCACCTTGATGGAAATAGAAGGATCAAGACCTAGAGGAGGGCCTAAGATCATGTTGATAAATATGATAGCGGTGGATATAAGAAAAATGAATCTTAGAAATATTGATGCTCAGGACCGTCAAAAATGGAAAAAAAAATCAAAGGGAAAAGTGGCCTACCTGGGTAAACTTGGAAATCGCCATCAAACGGAGAAGATAGAGGAAATCTTATCTTAAAATACATATTGACAACATTCCTCTTTAACTTCACATCATCTATCCTTAACTCCAGATCCAACTTCAAATACACCTTTACAATTCACTTCGACTCACAGTGATTTATATCTGGTGGCTTAGTGGGTTATGATGTATGCTTGGAAGCCGAAGGTACCAGGTTCAATCCTGATAAGAAAAATTTTCAGCTTTTACTTCGATGACTGATGTGTAAAGACATATGATAAGATGAATTTCTGAGCTTAGAAATGACACTTCGGTCACCGACAGGGTTGGACAGCAGGGTGCTAGGATACGTCCAATAAACCAAGTGAAAGATATAAACAAAAATATAAATATGAAAGCTAGGGCGTTCCCTCCAAGCGACGAGCAGGGTCCCATCCTGTGAAAAGTAAAATAGAGTCAAAGCGAAGAAAACAAGGTTAGCAAGCTTGAATATTGATACACTTAAAGGTAAGACGAGAGCATTGGCATCCATGTTGAACAAGAGAAAAGTTGATATAGCATGCATACAAGAGAAGAAATGAAAAGGTACAAGACTAATTTTTTGAGATGGGTATAAAATGTACTATAATGGAATTGTTAATTGTTAGTAATAGGAACGGTGTCATCATTCCCAGTCAAGATCTAACCTCCTTAGTGGCAGAAGTTAACAGGATCTCTGATAGACTAATGAAAAAAAACTCTGCATTGGTCAATCAATACTACACATTCTTTCAGTATATGTTCTTTTGCAAATAAGAAGAGAAAGTTGTATTTAGAGCTAAACTTGATGAAGCTGTAATGGAAATCCCTAAGGATGACCAAGTCATAATAGGTGAAGACTTAAATGCGAATGTGGGAAGCAAGAGAAGCTACAGAAGGCATCGTGGTGGTTTTTGAAATTGAGAAAGAAATAGTGAAGGAGAGCATGTACTGAAATTTGCGCAAGCCTTCGACCATGCCTTAACCAACACCTACTATAAGAAAGAGGACAGTCATTTAATAACATAGGTACACCAGATAGATTACTTGCTAATCTCTTGCAGAAGATTAAAAGATGTAATAGACTACATAGCTATCCCAGGAGAAGATATTGCTGCTCAAATAAGTTACTAGTCATGGATTTACACCTCACAAATAAATCCACTCAAAACAAGATAAAACTTGAACCAAGCATCAAATGGCGTAGATTAAAATCAATGACAGATGCCTTTGCAATTAATGCAAACTTTGAAACAATAGATTTTCACAAGTCAGTGAAAAAATGTGGACAAACCTTTCATCTAGATTAATAGATACTGTCAAATCTACACTAGGCTTGACAAGGGGACGTAACAAATAACACAAAGAACTATGGTGGTGTAATGAAGAGGTACAAGCCACTATACAGGAAAATAAAGTTATATAAAATATGGTACAAATCCAAATACCCAGATGACAAGACAAAATACAAAAAGTCCAAAACTACATACTAAAGAGGGGCAAAATAAAGTATACAGATTAGCCAAACAGCAGGAAAAGATTCTAGGGATATAAACAGAGCTTTGAAAGTTATCAAAAATAAAGATGGGAAATTGATAATAAAGGAAAAAGAAATAATGAATAGATGGAAAGAATTTTTTTAGAAGCTTCTCAACTTCAGTCCCTACATATTACATCTAAATGAACACTCCCCATGTCAAAACCAACCTTATACAATCAATAACGGAACAAGAAATAATCACATGCCTCAAATATATGAAAAACAACAAAGCTAGGGATTGATGATATTACAATAGAAAGCCTTAAAGCACTAGGAGATGAAGGAATTTATTTCCTCACAAATCTGTACAATAAAATATTGGGGAAATGAAGAGATTCCTCAAAAATGGAGGCAGAGCTATCTAGTTCCGATTTTCAAAAATAAAGGGGATTCACACAATTGTCAAAATTACAGGGGCATAAAATTAATCTCACACTGTCTTAAGCTTTACGAAAAAATAATAGAAAAAGGTTAAGAGTCACACGAAATAGGAGAGACTCAGTTTGGCTTTATGCCTTTAAGATGAACGACTGATGCTATCCACGCAATTAGGCAAATGAGTGAAAAATACAGGGAAAAGAACAAAAAGCTACACATGGTCTTTCTCGATCTAGAAAAGGCCTTCGATAGAATCCCAAGGAAATCTATCTGGTGGGCGCTACGCCACAAAAAGGTTCCCGAAAAATAAAGAATAATACAGAATATATATATGGGCCATACAACAATGGTCAGTAGCACAACTGGTACACCGGCTTCACAATAACCAAAAGAGTTCATCAAGGGTCGGCTCTCAGCTATTTGGGCTCCACTATACAAACAAACGGCACATAAAATTAATCAAGGGTGGTTAAAGTGGAGATCTTTATCTGGGGTTCTCTTTGTCAAAAGAATCCCACACAAATTGAAGGAAAAAATTTACAGTTTCATAGTACAACCATATATAGTTCGGAAACATGGCCAACCAAAGAATCATACGACAGAAGTTTACAAATTATGGACATGTGCTGAGGATGATTTCTGGGGTAAAAAGAATGGTTAAGGTGCGAAGTACAAGAATACTATGAATTTTAAAGGTAGTGCCTATTAAGACTAAGATAATGGTGAACTGACCTAGGTGGTATGGGCACACAATGAGAAGACCTATAAAATATATAAGAAATAAGGTTAGGAGTTTGGAAGTAATGAGCAATCGTAAAAGATAAAGGCCAAAACTTCAATGGGGCCATAAAGTTAGAGCTAATATGAAGAAATATAAATTAGAAAAGCATGAATAACATATAGTTAAGAGAGATATTGAAGGGGCTTACCGCCAGAAAAGGTGAAAGTTAAAAAAGGAAAAAAAAAATTAGTTCAACCGTTTCTCTTCATTTAGAGGGAATAACTGATGCTTCAATATTGGAATAAGAATTCAATTCTCAGAGAATCATCTTCTATTTTTACATCAAATAAATAATAAGTTATTGAGTTTTAGAATTTATATAATATGAATAGTTTCTCACCAAATACCCGTGAATTCTAGTCAAAAAGGAAATAATTAAAGGTTAAACATTTTGACTTTGAATACTTAAATCTCAATTGGGCCAGCAAAAGAAAAAAAACATTCTCTTTCAAATTCTTACCATTAACATCTCAAATGAATAAAAATCAACAATACCATTAATTCACGTTATAGAAAAATACAGCCAAATATATTTACACAAAAGTGAGAGTTTTTACACTCTTTACAGCCTGTTTAAAAGAAATCGTCCATCAACGTTGTATTCCCAAAATTGGTAAAAAGGGGCGCTATTTCTCTAATAAAAAATAAAGATAGTGGCAAGGAAAATAGACCATTATATTTTGGAAAAATTAATTTTAAGCCTTAAAGCTCGAAGAGAGAGCGCGCGAAAGATTTTTATAATTTATTGAACTGTAATAGATTCTTTTTACCAAAATATTAAAAGCATTGAATTATTTTGATCATTTTAAACAAATTTAATTGAATTTTTTTTTAGAAAAAAAGGCTTCTTTCTTTAAGAAAAATAGGTGTAAACAAAACTATTTTTAAAAATTTAATGCAGCCAAAAGCTTTTAATAAGCGGGCTTTAAACATTCCAATATAATGTATAGTTTAAAATGCAATAAAAAAAATCCCTCCTCGCCCTTAGAAATTCTGAATATAGGCTTATAATAAGAAATTCCTGGCTATAGGCCTATGAGGAATTCCGCTGGTAACCCACAATTTAAAAAAATTCACATTTTATGCAGCTTTAATTTTTGTGTTCCACCCACTGGAAATACCTAACTAAGGCGAGCCGTAGGAATGACACTGTCTATTCTCCACAGTAGATAAATATTATATGATTTATGTAGTAACAGTGGCCTTACGGGGGGGGGTGCTAATAAGTTCCCTAAAATTTTGAAAATACAAATTTTAAAGCAAGAAATAAATATATATTGATTTTTTAAAGAATTTTAGATTTTGAGAAACCATTGATCCCAGGCAAACTGAAAAAACTTTTAGTTCCTGTTTTAAAACTTAAAAAAATTATTAAAAAATTTACATTTTTTTTATCACTATATATTTACTCATGCTTTCTTCTTTGTTTCGCCTCTTACAATTTCTATAGCCTTTCGCCTGTAGGCGCTCTTTTCTGATGCTTTGCTCGCTTTATGCCATTCCTACTCATATCATCATAGCTAATTTTCTAAGATCTCTTTTCTCTTTAGTTATTGCGCCATTTTTTTAAATATATATTAACCTTAACCCATATCTGTAGAGCATTTTAACCCTAACTTAGTTCAAGAAGTTGGTTTTGTGGAAATTTTGATCCCACCGGGGAAAGGAAAAAAATTTACAGTAAAAAAATTTATTTCTGGTAGAATTGTGAAAAATATTGAACTTAATTTTTCAAGTGATTTAAATTATTTACTTCATTTAATTTCATCCTTTTTTACCGGAAATGAGTTCGTTTATCTGATTAAAAAAACAAGAAAAAAATCCCACATCTTGGAAACGAATATGTATTATTATAATTATAAATTATCTCGTGATTATTTTATTTTCGAATTTTATATTTGCATGATAATTTTTTTAAAAGAAATATTTTTTTAACAAAACGTAATACATTGTAATATATAAATGTTCCGTTACATGAACTTCTCTCAAATTTAATTTTTTTTTAAACATATATTATATATTTAGTTTACATTATGGAACCTCTTATTTCCATGTTATTAACCATTCTAATTTTCTCATTTATCCTCTACCACACTAGTTCGGTGTTCAGATTTTACGTGAAGACTGTCATTTATTTCATGACCATGACTATAGCCCTGGGTACTTGGCCTTTATTCTTGTTCAGAAGGAAAGATCTAAAAAATTTAAGGTATAAAACTAATACTTGATTATCAAAATATTTATAGAATGTTTATTTAAAATATATACCGATTGAATTTGAATTTTAAATAAAATTTTGATAACTCCACTACTCTTTTAAATAAATTGAATTATTACTAGATTTAAAGTTATTAGCCTAATTAGAAAAAGTTATCATAGTGTATAAGCTAGTCATATAACATGTTTTAAATTCTTATAATAATAAAAAAACATTTTACAATTTCAAAGATCGCAGATTCGCTCAGAAGCCACAAACGGGCTGTAAGTTTTTAAATCATGGCAAAGCATAATTTTCTAAAAATTAAAATCAATTTTAATTAAATGAGCATTTAAAAAATCGCATTATATATCATTTAAATTCATTTGTACATATTTTCAATTACCCTCAAAATTATTTATAATAACTGCTAACCTTAGTAAATATTTTTTTTTCGTATTTAACAGGTTTGTCAGTATATTTTATATTATTCCGTATTTTAATATATATTTGTCGCAAAGTATTTTTTTCCCATTATTTTAATTATATTACCAATAAAAATTTATATATTTAAACTATATACGTTTTATTATAAAATATCCATCTAAACACATTTGTGTATTTTATAAAAATAAAAGTGTATACACCCATTTTTTAAAATATAGACTTTCCCTAAAAGTATTTCTCCATAGGCGTTGCATTTCTAAGGGGAATGGGGGCCACCACGTTGAAAAATTTAATTAGAAATCTTTTAAAACTTTATCGAAAAACACGAAATAAGCTTTTCTAATAGAAAAATAAAAATATGGCCAAAACATAATTGCGAAATTTGAAACTTTATCAATTTGTAATTTTAGACTTAATTTTAAAACAGATTTGGACACAACCTTAATTAAATATTTGTTTTCCTAAATTTGTGTATGTAGAAAGGGCAAAACTTTTGTGAATTAGGGTCAATGCAAAAAGTATATGTTTACAGAACCGGGTCGGGTCTAAAAAAATAACATCTGCCAGATAGATTTATTAAAAATAATTTTAAAATTCTATTAATTAATCAGGTGCAAAATCATATAAATATTCATTCATTTACTGCTCATAACGAAATTTAAAAAATCGGGCCCGGATGTATGAAAAGAAAATATTATTATTGTAAGTGTTTCATAAGATAGAAAAACTGAACTTTATTTTTATTTTTTATCATTATATTACAGTTGCATAATTCTTTATTTAAATGGGTATTTATTTTGAAACATTCAAAACTTCACTAAAGCATAGCAAAAATCTAAGAATAATTTATTTTTATAATATCTTAAACCGATACCTGCAGAGGTCAAATTATCAGGTCAGCTTGAATTTTAAAAGGAAGTATTGTATTTTTTATTAAGGTTCCTTTTCAAAAAATTACTTTTAATCCCCACATCACCTGGATTTTCAAAATTTTGATATTTTGTATACTGTATCTATTTTGTAAAGTTAAAAAGAGAAATTTTATGAGAAGTATATGAATGTTAAATAATTCATTATATAATTTTCGACCTGATTAATTAATTCAAATTCAAATTATTTTCAAAAAAGGGACCATTCAAGATTTTATCTAACTCACAAAATTTATGTCCTTCAAAAATTCGGAAACAAGTATTTATTAAATGAAAATAATGAATTTTAGAAATATCATTAAATGTCGCGTCATTAAGTGTCGTCTGACTATATGTCCTAGTGATAAAGTGTAGACGTGATTAGAGGTCTAGCTATCTTCTGCGGGCTAAAAAAATTAACACTGGGTGGGCTAAAATATTTTTAAACGACGAGTGAGAATTTGAAATATTATTATGGCAAAATGAGCAAGAACAGGCATATTTATTTTATAAGTTTAAGTATAAATATATTAAAATAATAAATATAGCCAGACCAACCATTTAAATAATTTTTGCAGGCGGACGGATTGGACAAAATTTTAAATAAGTGGGTTGGTAATCCTTTTTAAAAACCATGGATGAGCTGATGGGGTAAAGTTTTTCATAGCAAAAAGTGGGTGGACTTAGTCTTGATTACATGTCGTTGTGATAAGTGTGAAATGAACAAATGACACAATTGCCCTTTGGCCATATTACATTTTTTACAGTATATTATTAATTAAAAGCTTTTCTTCTGAAAATATAATTTTTATTCGCAGATGAAACCATGGATATATCCATAAAAGGGCAGCTTTCGATATTTTTCGTTAAGTGGAAGAGAATTTAAATATAAATGAAATATATTAAAATTTTATGAAGTATAGGAAACAAATTCTGAACTATTATTTAACGTAATCAAAGATATATTACTTACATATTCTTTAGTCATCAATAAATGCATAGGTTTATATGTTATGATGGAGCTCAAACGTGAGTGAAATGTACGTTGTACAGATCTTACATGAAATCTTGTGGTACAAGATTGATTTTATATTATAAAAATTTGCAATTTTATAGTATTTACTGAAAGATTTATTTTTGTTCAAGATTCTCCCAAACGCAGTGAAATACTTCGTTCTATCCAAGCTGAAAATGATAGTTCAGCTTCTTTAGGGTCATTATTATACACACGCTAGTATGCTAACAATATAGTTAAAATCAATTGAAGTTATGAAATAATCATAAAACTTTATTAGAAATTATAATTATATTTTGCAGTAAGATTGTTACAAGTACAAAATATTTATTAAACCAAATAAAACTTTTTAAAATAATTTTATTTCTTAAAGATAACATTATTTGAAAAAGTATAAGTTTTAAATGCTAAAACCCAAAGTTTTTCATTACATTTTCTAAATATTAAATATAAATAGAAATCCAGATCAATCTAGGTGTAATACAACAAGATGATAGTTTCGATAAGTTTTGGAGAGAAGTTAATATAAAGGCAAAGGAATTAAATTTAGAGGAGCCCTTTTAAAGCAAAACACTAGGATTTATCATACCATTATTTCGGGTCAATTAATGAATATCATAGACATTTATTATAAAGTTTTATTGAAACTACAAAAAATCGTTTCAACAAACCAGTAATTGATTTAATTAATGTTATTGGCGCAATTTGATTTAAAAACTTTATGGAAATCATGTTTTATTTAGTATTGTATTCTATGATGATTCTGAAATGGATAGTCTAATTCTTCATAAAAATATGTTTTTGGGCTACTCAAAGTTATAAAAATATACATTAAATGTTTAGAGGACCTTATAACCAAGCGCATAGCTAGGAATATTCTAAGGAGAGGGGATAATTTTTTTATATTATTATTTGGAACATTAAAAAATTTTAGAATTATATAAAATTTATTAGAATCAATCAATCATATTTACAAAATGAAAATTTCGAACACAAATAATAAAATATCGAAAAATAAGCGAGTATAATATTGTTAAAAAAAATTATAGCTATAATCCCATATGTAAATCACAATAAAATATAGAATCAAACATTTATATTATGATTTAAAAATTTAATAAAATATCGTTCATAAATGGAGATTTAATCTTCTTTTTTGTGCTCCAATTTTCTATTTGTTATTGAGGATTAAATATCTTTATATTTAAGTAGAGCCAGTCCATTCGATCGATTTTCTGATGTACTTTAGAGATAGGATTTTATTCTCCGTAATATAGAAAAGGTGCCCCCTCATTTATCCTTGTTTGTTGCCAAAATATATAGTAATTTTAATGGATTTGGAAAAAATTACAAAATATATTTTAAATTATGCAATGATCTATGGTGCTTTGGAGGAATTATTAAAATAAATCTTTCTCATGCAATATTTGGATTCTGAAATAAATTGGCCATCATCATATATGACCTTCAGATACATATTCTCTGAATAAAAATAAGCGAATATTATTTTTTAAAAAATGTTGCATAAAATTGTGTAATTAAATAATTTATTAATTCAATGCAAAGAAAAAATCGGTTGTCCTATTGAATCTAATAAGGTATACTTCAGATAAAATATCTGGTTAAGGCCATATTGATATTTCTTCAAGGGCATAACCTCTTCTAAATTTAAAAATGTTGTAACAGCCTGATGTCAAAGGCTCCAAGGTGTCAGGCATACTTTTTACAGTTTTTATTCTTCTTGTAGCACAAGAAGTCTTAGAAATAATTCTTTTCAGAAAATGCTTAATGATTACTAACCTACTAAAGACCTTATTTCTTTATTATCTATCTTTTTAGATTTTTCATTTTATTTAATAGTTTTCTTTGCATTTATTATGCATCATATTGCGAAAATGTAAGATCAGTTGTTTAGAAATTTGAATTATTATTGGGTTTGGGTTGTATATATTTTATATTAAATTATATTACCTTTAGGTTTTTGGTTGATAAAATCCATCAGTGTTTAAGGTTTAAAATAATGTAAGAAAAGATGCTTCAAATTTTTGTGGAAAAAAATATTAATACCCAAGAAAGAAATATAAAAATTATTTAATTTTTTGCTAAAATTTAAAATTGAATATAACCTATTTGAAATAGATTATAACCTAGTTGGAATAAAATATTTTGCATTAGAGGTCTGCTACAGGAGCATTTTAGCCCACTCCCTACGCCGGTGAAAAAAAATTTAAAGAATGAGTGGGCGGGTTAAAAAATTAAAAAATGGGTTAGCTGGTTTAAAAAATTTAACTTTTATTTGTTTTTAAATTTAAGTAAAAAATCAAAAAAAAATACGCTTCATTATATTTCAACATTTTTAATACCAAAGTTCAACAATTGAGGAAGCTATTATCGGAAGAAATTATTGATTTAAAAAAATATCGAAAACATGTTGGATTTGATTTGTATGGGAGAATATAACATCGACGTGGATGAAAATCTAATTTTACCCTTTCCCGAAAAACAACGAGAATTCAATTAAAGGGTATTAAATTATAAATAAAATGTTTAAAATAGAAGCATCTATTTCAAAATTAAACCATAGTAGTTAAAAGGAAGGATGTTCACTGTACCTAATGACATGACAAAATATTTAAATCTTA